AAATATAGACTAAAATAAATATCTATAAGACACTATGGAGACACTAAGGTTCTTTTCTACTGAATTCACGTAAAGTATATTGTTGCTTCTTATAAAATATGAACAATATGAAACAAATGTAACACACAAACCTGTATAGCAGCCTGGTGAAACTTCTGAGATAACTCTCCTATCTCCCCATCTTCACCCTCTGATGCAGGACTGGTGTACTGCTCCAGTTTGTCCAACTGCTCTACCTGAAATATTGTCATTCTGTATTACAAGGTAATTAAGACAATTATTATGTTGTTTTTATCCAGTATTATAACTGATACCTCTGCTAGCACAAAAGGACGATCTTTGAGCACACTAGACACACTAAAACGGCATAATCCAGTGATGAGGAGGGTGTAGTGGGGCTTTGGCCAGTTACTACCCACAACCTGAACTGCTATCCCTGCAGTGCCAACCCTGGACAGAAACAAAGACATGAAAAATACAATACAGGTACAGATTTAAGAATTAGACCATTACCCATCTAAGTAACAAAAACAGATGGCACAAAATATACAAAGGGACTAAATCTGCTTTAACTGAAAGCTGCACACTAGCTTTCATAACTGTCATTATCTACAGTCAACAGACACTATAAAATAAAAATGCCATGTTGATGGTTTATGTTTATTTTGTTAGATATGGGATATAGCTCATTAATTAACACATGGCTTTATAATTATCACTATCTCACTGCAACCGTTTCAAATTTCCAGTGTAAATGCCAATAACTTTGCTTTTCTAATAGAAAGGATGGAAATAATATTACTTAGACTTTTCCAAACCTTTACTGGGTCTATATAGAATGACTGGTGCCACATGACTGGTGTTTGTTGTGGACTGTCTGTGTTGGTTAGTACATGCTGAACTTCTGCATAATGTCAATGTCAGGGTAAAGTCCACTTCTAGGCCCATCTACTGCAATGTGCGAGCCATGATCGGAACTTTTCTAGAACACTGCAAAGGCCTAGTGTGTACTTAATGTGTGCTGTCCTCCTAATGTGTGCTATCCCTCTAGTGTGTGCTGTCCCTCTGGTGTGTGCTGTCCCCCTAGTGTGTGCTGTCCCCCTAGTGTGTGCTGTCCCCCTAGTGTGTGCTGTCCCCCTAGTGTGTGCTGTCCCCCTAGTGTGTGCCCCTTAGTGTGTAGTGTCCCCCTAGTGTGTGCTGTCCCCCTAGTGTGTGCTGTCCCCTTAGTGTGTAGTGTCCCCCTAGTGTGTGCTGTCCCCCTAGTGTGTGCTGTCCCCTTAGTGTGTAGTGTCCCCCTAGTGTGTGCTGTCCCCCTCGATTGGGAAATGAAAAAAGGCATCGATTGTGTTTACTATAATTGTTAGCAAGCAAGCATAAAACATAAAGTTACGAATTATTGGCTAAAATTCGACTTGCAGCCTACAGACCGGCCCCCTGAGATTTAATGTGACCACATTTTATAAAAGCAAGTCTAAATCACCAATAAAAGCAAACTCAGAGCGTTCTTTACTTGTGCAGAGAGGGTAAATCGTCTGTCTCATACTCCGGGTCTTTCGTATCAGGAATTACTCCAATAATGGTGCTTTTCAAAGAAGTTCCCCGTAAAAGACGATGCTTCACCAGTTGCATATTTCTCGGAGAGTACACGCTGAACCTGACAGTGGAGCCCGGGAGGAGGACCTCTTCGTGGGATAAAAGCAGCGGGAGACGGCTCGGTATCTCCATTTCTCCGCTGGACGACATCGCCACAACCACTGGAGCTGCCTGCGAGTGTCACCGCTCCACCGGTTTCAGTATCGGAGCACTTCCGGGTATTTGCAAAACAAAATTTTAAATAATGACACAATCTTATTTTATAGATGTAATTTATAGCAAAATCATTCAGTGATTTTGGCATAGGTCTGTGTTAGTATAACGACAACAATTTTGTCTGGTTGCATTTACTATGTCTGAATGAAAACTAGAGTGTCATAGGCTGTGTCCCAATTCAAAGGGCTGCAGCCTCCGAAGGCTGCGAAGGCTGCGAAGGCTGGGTCCTTCGTCGGCCTTGAACTGGCCTCCGCGGACGCCAGGCCGTTGAGGAAATGGGACAGGTCTAGACTTCGGAGCCGCTCCCCCGTCGCCCAGCAACCGAGGGACGCTGCTAGAGCTAATGCTAATGCTAACACGCTCCGCGCAGATTACGCACACGGATCAGTAAAAAGAATACGCACAGGTCATCAAACTGTCGGATTTTGTGACCAAATTATTTTAATAATTCGCATCCAAATCTTATGGCCAAAAACGAAAATGTATGTTTAACTTTTGCAAAACAAAACGGCTATATTTAAGGGATACATCTTAAATAGACTAAATTATCTTAAAGTTTACAAAAACTATGATGAGATATGCATTACTAAATATTATCATTATTAAGGATTTGTAAAGAAAGACATCTCTCCTGAGAAAAGCTGGTTTATTAAACAATCCAAGGAACTTCTGGAAATACTTTATCATAATATGAAGTCAAATATTAAACCCATTACACACACTCTGCATTAACAGGTTAGTACAAACAGCTGTATGTCAGTAAATCTCATTGTATTCCCTTTTTGCAAAATATCTTTGCCAAATATGATCATGTGGAATACCAATGCTTATCTGCAGTACAATAGTACATTCTTATAGTACATGTAATTAGTTACTATCAAAAGAGACATCAAATAAATGGCACATTTCACCATAAATCAAATGTCAGTACAGACTGAAAAACATTCAGAAAAACTTATGAGCAGATGTTTTCATTTCTGTCTCACACACTTGTTCAGATCATACAACACTATTAGAGGAAAATAAGTTTCACAGAGCATGCAGCCCCAAAGAACACCTGGACTCCCCCCGCACTATTTACATTTATTATTATTTATTTATACGCAAGGGAGTGAGAAAAACAATTCTTTATATGTTTTTCGTATGAAGAATTGACAATAAACAATTTTAACGTTGAACTTAAACTTTGATGTACATTCAGATTCAAAGGCAGTTTATATCTGAAACAGCTAAATGAATAGAGGAATCCCACACATTTGAGAAATGCATATTTTCACAATTTAAAATCAGAATTTCAACATGAGCATGATTCATTTGCAGCTCTTATTATTAGTAGAATTTTCAATGTAACATGCCCCATACCTAATCCTTGGCAGGAGTCTGGGTCAGCACCTCCAGCTCAGTGTTGGCTTTACTTTGTCATCTGCATTTGACCCATTTTATGAATCACAAGCATCTTGTCAGCCAACAGTTCTGTGGCCCCTGCAGTGTGCCGTGTCCTCATACAGGAGGCTGCAGATGAGAAAAGAAAATTCATGTAAAACAGATTTCTCATTGTTATAACATTAGATGTGACAGACCTAACAGACAGCCAGGTCGTATCTACACCAGTGTCTGCACAAATCTGTTAAATGAGCCTCATGTCCATCATAAATCTGACCTGTCCAGGCAGGATTATTTACTCTTCACTTTACAAACATGCACGGATTGTTAAAAGCAGATAATGTATTCCCTGAATGAAATGCACACGTTGGAGGCATATATTATGTGATTTACAAGTAAATATGAGCTTTGATAGAGTCAAACTGAGTCTTTTCAGTTGAATGTATGAAATAATGCGTGTTTTCATCTTAACTCTGAGCTACACTGACCAACTGTTTACGTGTTTACACTGTCCGTGAAAACGTGGAGTTTTCTCCTCGTAGCTTCTTTAAATCACTCCGTGGGCTTCTTTTCCCCTAACAGTAAAAACATCATTAGTGTTTGATGGAAATGTGTCCAAATATGAAAGTTTGAGCGGATTTTTCATCGCATTAGCTGCACATCACTAGGCAAACTTTAGCTCAAAACTCCGCGGTTCACGCAGTTAAAAACAAACTTATTTGACAGTTTTGTGGGAGTTATGGTCGTACTTTACGTTTACAGTTGTGTTAGTAATGATTTCCTAAAGTTAAAAGTGTTACTCACATGTTTTTCTCCGCTCTCCAGACGGGCTTTTTGCTGCGTGTTTTCGCTCCGTGTTTTCGAACATCTGACTGCCGCTGCGCGGTGCATGCTGGGATACTGAAGGCTGCGAAGGATACTCGGATGTGTCCTCCGTTCGCGGCCCCATCTCCATGGAAACGAGGCCGGTTTTAGGGCTGCATTTGAAGGCTGCAGGACATAAAAATTAAATGGGAGAGGCCTTGTTTCACCGCAAGTGACGTATGCGGCCTTAAAACCAGCCTTCGGAGGCTGCAGCCCTCGAATTGGGACACAGCCTCTGACAATTGCCGCGGCCATCTTGTGACTGTAAGGGCTGCAAATTAGCCTTTTAATTAATTTTTAAATGAAGAAAATTTGTTTAAATTGACATAATTAACATTTGGGGTCTTAATAAAGCAGGGAACTCTACCTATTTTTGTCAAGTACTACTTTCTATGAATTTCAAGCACATTCATCCAAAAATATTGCCTGGAAATCCAGAAGGATATTTCTCTGTATTTGTTATACAGCGATGAGTCTGGATTCGTCCAGGCAACCAAAAATAGCCTACTTCGCTGATCTACATTTAAAGCAGAAATTAAGTTTGTATGTCAATCATGGACTGTATGTTTAATTTCTTATACAGTCTGTGATGTAAATACACCACATGGACACCATTGTCTGAGTAAACTATTCTTTACTTTATGCTAAGTACTATAAAATGTTTTATTATTATTACCAATAATCACAAATATAGTTTTCAGATTAGTTGGCAGTAACATGAACATTAGATAAAGAGGTGATTAAAAGTTCTTGTCAGTCAGTCTATTGTTTGTTTGTTTTCACAACTCATTGATGTGAGATACACATGGAAGTAAAAGAGAGCAGAAGAGCTGACACAGAATTAATGTGTTTGCAATTAAACAACAGGACAAAAACCCAGGTATATAACTGTACAGTCACTGTATTTACACCATGGATGCACAGATGCAGACTGAAAATAGTGATTGCTACACAGCCATTTTATTTTAAATTTTCTTTCAAAATGATAAGTCTATACATTTTCCAAAAAATAAATACATTCAATATCTTGCATATAAAACTCTATTTCTAGAATGTCAATTTCAGACCACAGGCAACATTCTATAAATGCTTTTTACTGTTATAGTTTTGTTTTGGTGGTGCCAATCAGGTTTGGCAAAGGTTGTATGTTTAACTAAATGACAGTTGTACTTGATCTCAATGATAGTATGTTCATTCTCCCTGCTGAAGAGTTACATTTAATAATTCATACATTCTAAAAACAGAAGGAGTTCTACTATAATGTTGAAATAACAGAATGCTTTAACATTCAAATTTTTGGTAAATCTAGTTTCACTTTAAACTTCTATTCAAATCAATGTGGTTGATGCTGAGGCCAGTTAATTGCTTTGTTTAATGCTCAGAAATTTGTCCAGCTTGTATTAAAAATAAATTCTTGGAGAACATATATATCTTCAGTTCTCACCAAATGTTAGTTTTCAATTTTTTATATAAAATAAAATATTTGTTTGATAGCTGTGAATTCAAATGCAGCTAAAATGGTTTAAATCTGCTGATTCAAACTGTGATGAAACCTGTTATACTGTATCACTACTGTGCATTCAGCTTTGAATATTTAACAATGTCTTGCATTAGTCCTGGACCTTTGGATAGGCAACAATGTATATCATAATGGCACATTAAATTAAGGCAGTCACAAAATACATATTAAGGCAGTCACAAAATACATAGACAACAGCAGTTTTTGGCGTTACTTTGCGTTGGGTCCATGGTTCTGGCTGTAGCTCGCTACATTCATAGCAGTAATATTTACTTGGAGTACAAAGTGAGGGGGACATGAACCTTGTAGGCTTCCATGTAGGCTTCTTGTGCAGTGAGCGGGCAGGTCCACTGGTGCACAGGACGTGCCACAGTTATCATATCCTGACGGTGTAGAGAGCTCCTGTTCTGGAGGTGCAGAGCTGGATCAGCTCCTTCTTCCTTCTTTAAACATCATTTAACATGATTGAATATACATATAACTTGTATAACAAATCTCTTAAACATCTGTCACTCACAAAGAAAATATTTGTTTCTTTGTAATGATATGAAGTATAATGATGAAATCATATTACGCATTTACTGTTTTTTCCCAAGTGTGTTCATTTGACTTGCTCCTTCGTCATTGCACAGATTTCCATAAATCAGGACTGGTACTGTCAGTGTTTATTGTCCTTCTGCAGTCCTCTCTGCTCAGGGGACAGGCTAAAATATGATTCCATGAACACGTTCTCCTTCATGGCTTCTTCTCAGCTTTTTGTGTTCACATTCTTCTTGCCTTTCCTCCAATGGGACCTGTCACAGTCTGAAAAAGGGGAACAAACCCATAATTGTTTTAATTGAATGTGTTTTAAATTTAATGTGTTGCTGTTTGTTCTCAAGCAGACACTGGATTTACATACTTGGATTTACAATTTTAATAAGGAACAATAAATGTTTTACAAATATATTATTGAGAATATAAAGCAAGCTGAACACACCAAGAGGTGTGAATGCTTTCCTTTGGGACAACTGTTGCCCATTAACACCACTGAGATCACAATGGTATTTTTATTTTACATTTATGGAATTTATATCACACCTATATGATTTGTAGCAGGAATTTGCACATATTGGAGTAAAGAAAGTACTTTTCATTTGCCGAACACTTCTTCCAAGCTTATAACCCTATAGAGAATATATTTAATTTAGGTTAAATAAAAACTTACATCATTTGATTTCAACAACCATGACTTCACAATTGTATATATGGGGCTGTGGTGGTACTTTTTTTATAAGAATGTTTTTTTACTAATCTATTACAAGAAGAAACTTTAAAGCAGTGGTAATATATAGTGCACAGTTTCATTTAAGTTCCAATTAGACCTGCTGACAGAGAGGATGGCCACTGAGGAGCTTTCAGTGGCCTTACAATGTAGACAGTGTTTCATGATAAACGCAGTCACATGTATTTAATCCTGACATGTTGGAGCCAAACCGTTTCCCGTCTTGGATACAGATGTTAAACGAGGGCAAAAACACCACCCCTAAAAGCTCTGCTTTTGTCCCATCAAAAATCCCTCCTGCATTTATCATCGTTAACTAACTCTATCTAGTGTCTACTGATGACAAGTGCTTATAGTGGAAAACAAGGGTCTGCTTTAAGCTGTTAGAGACTGGAGGAGCAACAGATGATATTTTTGTGCATTCCTATTAACAACAAATAGCAACATTATAGTAAATTATCACTCAGCTAAAAAAAATATTTCATTTTGGTGTGATTTGGCTCAGTTTCAACATCTAATCTGAGGTAATGTCTAAAAGATGCGCTGGTAATATGAAGTCTGACAGTTTGGGTTTTTTTTGCCAGATCATCAGCTGTTATTACAAAATCACAGAATTTAAAAACACATGTGATTTTATTCCACACCTTCACAACATGAGGACACTGGTGATGTCCTACTCACAGTCATGCTGTGCTTCTGTGGTAAAACATTCGCTGAACAGACAGTGCATGGTGCGGCACAGGTTGTCCATGAGGGACTTTGGAGTGGCATATCTCCAGCTGGACACTTTTTCTGGCTCTTCAGTTAACTGATCCCAAATGTCTTGGACTGACTCTGGAAGCTCCTGCTGGAACACCTGTAGACACAGACACATTTGAAATGTACAACTGTAGCAAAACCTTATCTAGTTACATTATATTCAAAATACACACTTGAGATAAAATATCTCATCTTTTACTTTATTAAGGATGTATATAGATATACAGAAAAAAAGCTTTTTAAATATTAACTGTGTTTCCTCATCATAAGCTTAATCAGAGTCCTCATTGTTCTGTCAAGAAAAAAGTAATCGTAGTCTCATCTTATGAGCTAAGCATCTGTTCCCACTTCTTCTTGATCTTTATGAATAATTTGTGGCTGCACAGTCTCAGTTTAATCTTAATGCAAGAAATCGTGCAGTCTGAGTTCCTCTTTTTTACTTTGATTATTCTAAATGCTCACTGCCACTGCACTGCGCACAGAACACAAAAAATAAATGATGTACCCCATGCCTGTGTACATATAATTACTACATTAGTCTTGGTGCAGTGGCCCTACCTCAGCTGGATGTGCCAAAACAAAGACTCCCTCTGCATCTCGGAGTCGTGTCTCCAGCTCTGCAGTATACCGCCGCGATGGATGTCTCTCAGGCATCACACGAATGAGCTGCAAATGGAGTTTATCAGAAACATATGAAACTTTTCAACTGCTAAAACTTTTCATTTGAAGTCTTTAATGAAGAGCTGCAACACAGTCAATATTTGGCTGCTATGTTTATGAGGAAGAACTGTTTTGAGTAACCCTTTTATTGCTGGTGTCCAGAGAGACAGTTGTGATGTGGCACCTAAAACCTCTTTTGAAAGTAGAAAATTAATATACATTTTTACATACAAAGGAGCTGCCATAATTTATTTTTAGTACATGACCAATGCAAAATTGGTCAAGTACTAAAAATATTTGGATCAGTATTATCTATGGTGATAATATAGTGCCTGGCCAGAGTGCTCTATTATCAGAAATTACGTCAACAAAAAATGTATTTATTTTATTAATATTATTAGTGATCATCATTCATACCTTTTTTAAGATGCCTTGATTGACTTGGAACCAAAGTCTCTGAAGAGTCAGCTCATCCAAGCCCTCCACATTTACTCTCTGTGAACAACAGAGGAAAAACAGGAAACAAAAAATTATAGTTAAATTGTGCTTCAGTGCAGACTGGGGTCACATAACATGACCTTTGACAAGCACAAACCTCAAATGGGAGACCCCATCAAGTACAGCGCTTCTTTCACAGAAAAGGCAATAAATTAAATGGCGTAAAGACTGAAAAGAGGGCTGTATACATACCATCCAGCTTATGTTGGAGAGTTTGAATATTTCCTCATAATGAACACGTATGCCGTAGTTGATAGGAAAGTTGTGCTTCTGCAAAAACAGTTAAAAACACTTTGTAGTTACTCTAGTATTCTTCAAGGACAACAAATGTTATCTTTAAATTCACGTCACTATTCAGTGGTTAAACTATAAATACCCTTTCTGAAAATAAGATTCTGCAAGTAAAAGTTCTTAGAAAAATCTTTAGGATGCGTATGAGATGCACATAAATCTAAACCTCATCTTAAGTTTTCCTTTGCTTTCTTTGTTCTGGCTTCATCCTGATGAGCAAGAGATGATCTCTAAATATGAGATGTCTCTCACCATGTAACGCTTCCTGTAGCTCAGGCTGTCGTTCAGGGTCTTCAGAGGGGTACACAAGCTCGAAGGAGTGGGGGCCATGAGGACAGGAACCATCAGAAACAGGCCTATAGCAACATCACAACAAAGACACTATTAAAGTATGTTTCACTGCGGCAGTTTAAAAAGAAACAATGGGAACATTTACAGGGCCAGTAAAAATCTGATAACTATAAATATCAGACAAACCAATAATTAGATCAGATTTTTGGTGTGTCTTTAAATGACGAGAAATATGATCAACAAAAACAAACACAACCAATTTATTGAGTGCTTGTTTTATTTGGAAGACAAAGTTAATTGAATTTTAAATAAGTTTAAATAATGTAAATAACATGTAAACAGTAAAATCATTTGATTTCTGATCATGGTTAGTCTAATTACTCACATCAGATGTTGTTGTTTGCCCTTTATTTAAATAATTTAAATAAAGGGGTATAAATAAGATAATAATCAGATTTCAGTGATAACTCCTTAAATCAGATAATGATCATATTTTTGGTGTGCATATAAATGGCCATTGTAAATGTGTACGGCACAATAAGGAAGCATTTCCTCTTACTTGACCAGAGCCTCAAATGTGATCTTATCAGTGACATCCTGTTTCAAAGGGCTTTTTTTTTAGCTGACATTCTTAGAGACTCTCTCTTTAATTAAATGGAGTCCAGCCACATGATATTGTGTCTATATTAAGAGCACAAGATCTTCAGTGAGAATGATTAGGCATCAGTTTCCATATACACTATTATTTAAAGAGTTATTAGTCACCATGCATAGGGTCAGTAGTAGGTCTAATAATATTAGAGATTAGAAAGATCATGGGGTGAGTGTTTTATTTTATTTTATTGAGTTTTTACATGTGAGACTTCTATGGAAGTCATCTTTGGGGTAATAGAAAAAATCTCGTGCATTTTTGTACCTAATACCAATTGTCGTTGGTATCAGACCATAGAGATCGACTGATATGGATTTTTTTCATGACCGATGCTGATACTCATTGTTTAGAGTCCAGAGAAACAATGAAAAACAATGGTCAAAAAAGCCAATATCGTTGAGCTGATATGTAGGGCCAATTCTGATTATTTTACCAAAATTATGTCATTTAAATTTACTACAAACTCACCCACAAGCCTTTAAGAGAGCTGTGTAGTCATGTTTTGGCCAAACTGCCTTGTCAAAACTTGATCTCGTCAGATCTCAGAAACTGAGCAAGGCCGGGTCTAGGCAGTACTTGGATGGGCGATCACTGGGAATTCCAGGTGCCACAGTGGAGCGCCATTGGCATTGTGTCCATAGGCAAGACACCACCCACATTGCCTAATAAGAAAGTGGTGTGTGCATGAGTGATTGGCAGTGGTTGTTTACCACCATCAGGTATGGAGTGAATGAATAATGCTCTTTAAAGCACTTTGGGTGTCTTGAAAGGTAATATATAAAGCCAATGAAAAGCAATGATTAATTAATAATTAATTCATATATTTACAGCATATGGACACTTCCGTTTCAAAAAATCCAAATATCTCTAGTACTGTGAACTGTAACTCATATTCCAAGTTAATGTGACAAGGTGGTATTTCCTCCACCGATTCTTAAAAGGACTGGTGACTCATGTTATGCTATTATAACCTGACCACAGCCTGCTCACTGTCTTTACCTACGGCATCGTAAATCATACTTTATGCACAGATCACCCCCAGAACCCTGCAACAGACCAAGATTGATGGCATGAGTCACAAGGGAAATTAGGACAATATACAGCCCATGACTCACCCACATTAACAGATCTTAGAAGAGGAGAGACCCCACACTTGACTGTATAAATCAAACTAAATTGACCAAAGTCAAGAGAAAATGGTTGGCATTTTGTTCAATGAAAAATCATAACCATACTATTGGCAGGTAGATTTGAACTGTAAACAATAAGGGTTATGGGATCATCCTGTGATGTATTTCCAGAAATGTTGTAAAAGAAGAGCAGTTGTGAAAGCTCAGGCCCCTGGGAGGTGTATTATTTCCTGCTTCTTGAGTTTAGAATGGAGAATGGGCCAAGCTACAAACAAGACACATGTGCTTTATATAAATATATAAAGGTTTCCTCTCTAACTCCTTGATAAATATGTCAGTATTGTTATAACTGCCCAGTTAGAATAACCAATATTACTATCAGGTAGTTAATCCCAAACCCCAGTTGTTAAATTAATTTTTGTAGCAGGCCAAAAAGTGTAATGCAACCTCACCTCTCAGCCAGACCAAAGTAATCCATGGCACATGATTTCACTGTAAACACTTACTACAAGTACATGCTAGAGAAACAAAACATAATTAGCAGCACAATATACCATATAGTAATCCTCATGGAATGTTTTCCTCAAACGCCAAAGCACTTAGCAGTGAGACACATGGGTTTGGCACTGCAGTGTTTCAGCATGCACTGCATCAGCCTAGTGTCTTTTAACACGACCTAATATACACCTATCTGCAGTTCATTGTTCTTTAACTGTAATGACAAAACCAATTCTTCCCCATCAAAGTCACACAAACAACAATGTGTTTTCTGAATTGAACCAATGAAGAAGCTACTTCAACTGTAAAAAAAAAAAAAACATCCAGAAGATATATACATTTTCAGAGGCCAATATGTTGTAGATCCTCCCCAAACCCAGGGCATCTTCCAAGTGGTATAAGCCTGGAGCATTAATTAACCTATCAATCCACACCCATCTTTCTCTCGCTTGTGAACAAGGACCTGAGATAGTTGAACTCAAGAGAACACAAATCACATTTACCCAGAAGATGATGACCAACGATTTGGAGCTACTTATTTACATCACAGCAACTTCACACTGCAGGAAACCACTCCAGAGCAGACACAAGGTCCATTAGAGCAGAGAGAAAGCAGAGCCTGTGCTACCCAAACTGGACTCCTCACTCCTCTGGCATTACCAACAGAACCTGTCAGAAGGGCAGCCCTGGCGAAGGCCAGATGCCCTGGGAACAGGTCTGACTGTAAGAATAAGCATAAGTGCATGTGCACCAAACAACTGATCCCCTATGATTAATGATATTGCAGAGTGAAAAGAAAAGGCTGGAAAACCAACAAAAGCAGTAGTAGTATAGTAGCATAAAACAAACTCCAGTTTCACACCTGACTCAAGTTTCTATCTGCTATATCAAACTGGATGCACAATTTGATCTTGTCTGACCTGTGTTCCATTTTCTGCAATACTGCTTCCTCAATTAAGTATAAAGGCGAGGGAGATAAAGAATCAGTTAGTGATTATCTTATTTTAGTCATGATGTACAACCAAAAACAATATGATCTATAAATGAGGCCTGCTAGAAGATGGAAAAAAAATGTCTAAAAATATTTTTATTTTATCTTAAAATGAAGAGAATGAACCGATTAAAAAACAGTAGGTGACTGTTGTCAACAAAGAGAGGTACAACAATGAGCAACATTTTCACTTATATAAAAGTAAATGTTAATAATCTAGATTGCATAATTTCAGTAATTGTGTGTTGTACAGCAGCACAGTACAGTATTCCTATCACCTATTCATGCAGCATGTAGGTATAAATAGGGGATAGAGATACAAAGGATTATATATTTTTTTTTTAAAACGTTGTTGCTGTCACCCAAAACCTTCCAAACCACAAAAAAATCAGTGTTACTTTTGAGCCAAAGATTTTACAATGATGTCATAATCAAATATGATGGGTTAGACATAGAGTTATAGATTTTCCAGTTAGTGGTCTCACTATGTATCCATGGTGTTTTATAATGCACCATCTAGAATGTATGTAAATGTCAGCCAACTTCAGTACCTGTTAAAAATGATCCAAACCTCTTTCACGTCAAGCTGTGGGTTTTGTCAGAACAAAATAACAAAACAGGTCAAACCAAATGTACAATGAGCTCTCAAGGCATCCATGATGTGAGACCGCAACTGCCATAACACAGACTGACCACTCGGAGATAAGTAAAGTCAGAAGATCTATTGTGTTGCAACTCACGACTACCATCAACACAATACTAAAATTAAAACTGGTCAAATCCACAGGAGCGTTACCTAAACACACACCAAAAAAAGAGAATAATGCCCGGTATGTGGTGAACTTTGAGGACTGCGAGTGTATCTCTGAACCTGTACAGGGAAAACTCAGACCTCATAGAATAAATGTACAATGGTTAAGATGGAATTTGCTGGAACAGATAAGTGCATGTATCAAATATAACATCAAAATCAAATATACTACTGTTATACTGCTGTTGGGACATAACTAGTCCGCTGTGGCTAAAGTAAACAAATACCACTGAACACAATGCAGGAATAGTTGGTGTCTATGTTTCACTTTTACTATATACAACAAGTAAATCAATTGTTCTGGGACCAACCTGACCTGCCAACAATAACACTAATGCCCTGTGCTTTCCTACACTGTAGCCATATCTGCAAGACTGAACGTACGAAGTTTTAATGTTGTAGATTCTGTTTCATTTTTTATTTTATATCCAGATGCACTGTTAAGAAAATGTTTTAATGTTTCACTAACACGCTCACACAGGAAACCTTACAGAAGCAGAGGAGGTGTGAACTAAAGCTGCCTCTGTCATGTAGAAGCCTGTTACAGGAATTAGCTCTTTGAATCACTCAAAAGAGAATATAGTAAATGACATAATGTTACATTTTATCATCAAGGTTTCTTGAGTTTGTATACAATCCTACATAATAATCTTTGCTTTTTTCCTACTTGTAAACTTTAACACACAATTTCACCTACTATGCCCAAAAAATAGTAAAAAGTCATTGTAAGGTGCATTAGGCAGGATTTTTATATTTTTTTTTGCTATGGTACGATAGTACTAACTATAACTATAGCATATAGTTATAGTTAGTACTATAGTACTAGTATATAACTATATAGTATATTATTGTAATTACGAGTTTAGTCAGTGAAAAAAGTAAAAGTCATGTGTTTCATTATTTTTATGGTTGCTGAAGCCCTACATAGTATTCTCTACTTTTTTGTATTTTTTGTTTTTGTTTCACACAAACACAAAGGTACTACTACACTCTCACCTCTGACCCTCCTATGTCCAAAAAGTACAAGGTGTACTATGGAGGAATTTCCATAAAACTGCAATACTCAAATTCAATTAAAAATGGAAATTACATTTATCTCAACAAGAAAAGGTTATGTTTTAGCATCAATGTTTGTAGTTTTATGAAATCCTACATTGTATTCCTTAACTTCAATCTACTCCTTAAATCAGTCAATCAAGAAATCAATGGGATGATGGGTGGTTGAAGGTGGTAAATATCGCTGCATTGAGCCAAGCCCTGAGTTCATTCTAAAGTCTTGGAGCAGGTGGTGGTAGTGGCAGGGAAACGCAACAAAAAAAGGTTATAATTTTATCATCAGTCTTTTTTTGTTTTATGAAATCCCTGAATTCCTTAACTTCAGCTACTACCTTTTTTTTTAAATCAATCTGTAGTGACTAAAACTACTCACTTTGACTGGGTGTTAAAAATTAACGTGCACACTCCCAGGGCGTTTGATTGATAAACTTTACTGATAAATAAAAAAAAAAAAAAAAAAAAGGAACTAGCTCTTTACACTTGTATCTCACAGGCGATGCGGCAAAAAAATCAAATATCACTATTTTGTTGGTGCCAGATTTTGGTACAATTCATGTAAACTCTGTATAGCATTTATAAATAAAGTCATTGACTTAATTGACCTACTTAATTGACTTACTACTAATACTAAAGAGTACTATTATTATTATGATTATTACGATTAGTATGATTATGATTCTGATTATGATTGTGATTATGATTGTGATTATTATTATTATTACGTATTTGGCAGCACAAATACAAAAGACCATCAAAAGACTTATGTAAACTATACACTTGTTTAATTACTCCTTTTACCTTTAACTGACCAAAGGTAGAAGACACATAAAGTTTTACACAGTTTTTCACCTCAGCTATATATGTCCACATATTAAGAGGTGGATCTTACCCAGAGGGCCTCCCAGCAGCCAGGCAGAGGAGAGGTGAACCATGCTCGTGCTCCAGAATGCACTGCTCTCACTCTTCACTCCTCGTTCAGAGGGTTGGCCCAGACACACATGGGCTGTCAGGCACCTGGGCTTCACTGTATTCTTAAAACATTACTTCTGTTTTAGCATCTCCACTCTGTTAAGAGAAAACAACACAAAAACTGTCAGAGATCAAGAGAGAAATAGGTTGGCAAAAAAACAGACGTCAGAACTGGCAGTGATACTGATGAAAGGATGGGCAAAAGCTGGGCAAAAGCTGGGGTGAAGGCACTTAGTTGAAGAATGTTTTGAAGCATTTGGTTGTACTCATGAAATCTAAACCTCAATGTAAGGAATGTTACTTTTAAAGGTTTTAACAAAAGTAAAATGTAATTGTGTTGAGGTCTGGGTCAAAAGGTCAAAGGCTATATATGTCAGCTCATATGTCAGCTATAATATTTAATGTGGATTCACTTGTCAGCTATTTGGAATAAATTATATTCATTACAAATAACAATATATATTTTGCATAAAAGCATGTGAAATCTACATTAAAAACAAATTTTTAAACAGGTACTTTCATCGGTTTAATAACTGTATTTTTGTGATACTTTTACTTTACTTTTACTGTGTGTAGTTGGAGCCCCTCAAACAGGTCAGTGTGTCATTTAATAGCCACAAAGATCCACAGCCGGGTTAAGAAAAAATACTCCCTGACTAAAAATAGCATGAGCAGAATCTTGCTGAAAAGCAGCACAGTCTCAAACAAAACGCTTCTTCTTATCATTCATTTGGTTGGTTTTAAGTTGACTGAAATAACAGAAAATTGTCTGCATGAATCAGACACAAATATATAATTGTGGCTCTTAGACAAAAGAGACTGAGCTTTTAATGACAGACACAAGACCTCATATTGTCAAGAATATGACTCTGCCTCTGGATACAACAAGTGACGAACTGTGTTGGTACAAATCACTACATGCAGCATTGTAGTGCATCTGTGAACTTCTGAATCATAATTTGGGCTATAAAATAAATTAATGTTTATGGTTAACACATAAGATTAATTATTCTGTTGCACAAGTCTGTATCCACTAGAGATCTGCCGATATTTTTGGGCCAATATGTTGGACTGATTTTGGTAATTCTTCCCAAATTATCTAATTAGAATTCAATACCAACTCATCCACATCCTTGTTATAAACTGTGTAGACAGCAGTGTAATCACATTTTTGCAGTACCCTTTTTAGTTTTCAAATAAAGCTTTATGCATATATTTTTCATGTGTTTAGACAGCTAATTGGGTGAAACAAAATACTGGCTTCTGCAGGAGATTTAAAGTCAAAAGTCAATTTGCTAAAAAGTGCAAATATCAGACCAATATATCAGCTAACCAATATATCAGTCTGTCTCTAGTTTGCAAGTGATTTTTCTCCAAACAAAAAAAACAACCTGAGTCAGCCAGGTGGGACAAGCAGCCTTACACTGTTCAGGGAGAGGTTATCATGATTGCTCTTTTTTAATGTTAAGTAATGTTATCATTACCCTTATTTAAAGGTGCTCTATGTAACTCTTTGGTTAGGGGTCCGTCACCTGCTTGTTTCTATGCATATGGCAGTCCTTTGCCTTGAATATTCCACAGTATGACATTATACCACTCTACTTTACATGTATTAAATTAGAGTTTTTTTTTGTTTTGTTTATTTTTGAGGTTTAGCTTAAAAATGCTTAGAAAGCCAAGTATTCTGACTGTGAGTAGGGTTGCCTCTCCACAGATTTGACATGTAACTTGGGCTGATTTGGTCCCCCACCTCCCCTCCCAGTCTCCCTCCAGTCTCACTTTTTTCTTCCCGGGGTGATTTGGCTTTGAGGGGGTGGAAGGCACCAAGAGGGGATCTGACCTGGGGAGTAAATCAGTGTTGGACCGCCACTGAAAGGTTACTATAACTACAGCTTTTTCAGACAAAACAATAACATCTCAATTGACAAAAGATGCAGTAGTTAGTTGGTCTTGACAGGAAAAGGAACACACATGTACAGTGTGTGATCACTTGAATATTACAAAACTGCATCTGTGTGAAGCAGGCTTTGCTCCCGTGACATGTGAAACTCTAACGACCCTGAACAGAGAGTAAAATGTACCCCAATGCACCACTGGGGACAACCACAGCTGGAAATAATCAGTTGTGGTTGATAGTTTTCATCATCATTATATCATCACTCTACTATCACTATATTAGGTTGGTGAAAGCACAGGATTACCACCAGTCAAACAAACCAACTATTGTACAACTATTGTACTACTATATCATTAAGTCAAGTGAGACCAACCAACACTACAGTTTATAAAAAACAGACAGATAGTTTTGGAAAATATGTGACTCATTCAGTTGTCAGATTATTTATTCAGATGATTATTTTTTTGTTTTTTGTGATATGATTATTGCTTTGTTTCCAAATGTAACACCTGCTTAATAATATTAGGCTAGGGCTGTAGACTAGGTTCTGGAGGAGTAATATAAATGAGAGACAATTTAAAATTGAACAGCCGGCAGGTTTAATACAATTCAACAATGGCACAGTAAACCAGTGCAAATGACAAAGGTATTGAGCTCTTTGAAAATAAAATAAAATAAAATAAAGTAAAGTTAGGAATGCTAAATGTCTTTTGGTACTTGGTCCTGAGGTGCAAGACTTGGGATTGTTTGAAAGTGTCTTTTCCAAAATGTGATTGGTTGTTTCTTATCTGGGATCCAATGATTTAAGGGAGTGGTCAGGTCTGAAGATCTTTTCTTGAACCCCAAGCAGCTGGCCACACTGCTCCAGGATTCTTAATTAGTTCTCACTGGGTCTGGCTCGCCATCAACATCAGCACCGTACTCCAAGATCAGTTCCAGGACCACTAAAAAACCAGTCTGCACATACCGTACAGAACAATGAATAAAATTAATTTCAACAATAGTTTCTAAATAAAATGAGATCTCATAAAATGTTCTAAATCAATTACATCGTTGTGTTACATTGATCCCTTCAGTGAATTCACAATGAAATGCTACACAGCATTACATAAAACCAGATTATCTGTTCATCCCCTTTTTTAAGGCTTTTAAATTATTCCATGTGTTTCCTTTTATTATTATTTTTAACCTTAATTATTTCTAACAAAAGTTTACCTATGAATTTACCTATAAATTAAATGACAAAGTGCTTAATAAGCACTGCATAAAATGAAGTTTAAAATAAAAGTGCATATTCAAATTGGTAGTGCATTTGTAAAAGTGCTTCACATATAAACCATGAATAAAAATAAAAAACAGTCAGTTTAGTACTCGGTACCCTTTTTGATTCAACACTCCGACTGGTTTTAACTCGTCCAGTACATATAACACAGTAAGCAACATGTGCAACTTAGCAAGAGAGAATCCTGCTATTTTGTCATAGTTTAGTAACTCACCGGAGTTTCCAAGAAAACAACCACTCTCCACTCAGTCAGAATTGGGAGTAAGACACTCTAAATGCTCTGTAAAGTACACAACCTTAAATTAGAACTGGTTTAAAGTAGGGCTGGGCGATATGGATAAAAAAATATATCTCGATATATTTTGCTATATCTCGATATACGATATATATCTCGATATATGTTCAAGAAAAAATAACCCCCTAAAACTGAAAACTGCAAAAACAAATCTGCCAAATTCCACAAGGTCCTTTTTAATTGAAGTGTAAGAGGTCGGCAGTTCATATAGGAACATTTAAGATTACAAAAAACCCTAATTACATAAATAATAATTTAACTGTAAAATAAAATAAATAAAACATATTTTCTTCTTCTTCATAAATAAAACAACTGAACACAAGCTCATCTTTGCATTAACTCTGTTATCCAGACCAGAACCAGAACCATGAGCTCCTTTAGCAGAGGAAGTTCAGGATCTTCCTTATTTTAACAGATCCATGTTCCTCACCAGCAGAAGGAGCTCTGAGGTTTCCCACAATCCACTGCAGATCAAACCCAACGTTTCCAAACACTATTGTACAAGTTACACTGCAGCAGATTATTAATTAAAATCTTCTGCATAAATAAACTTTACAATATATAAAGCATAATAATGTGTTTAATGCAGTTTTGCGCACGTGTGTTTACATTTTACAGAAACGAAACTTAAGCGCCCCTCCTTGAACCGTCACCATATCGTGGTGGAGGGGTTTGAGTGCCCGAATGATCCCGGGAGCTATGTTGTCGGGGGCTTCATGCCCCTGGTAGGATCACCCAAGGCAAACAGGTCCGGGGGGACGGGTCAGACGAAGAACGGTTCAGAAGTCCCATATGATGAGTCACACACAGAGGCCAGTTACGTCGCCCGAATTGGCGTCACCGGGGCCTCACCCTGGAGCCAGGCCTGGGGTGGGTGCTTGCCAGCGAGCGCCTGGTGGCCGGGCCTTCCCCTACGGGGCCCGCCAGGCTCAGCCCGAAGGAGCGACGTGGGGCCGTCCTCACGTGGGCCCACCAACCGCGGGAGGATCCATATGGGGCCGGTGCAGAGAGATCTGGGCGGCAGTTGAAGGCGGGGGCCTCGGCGACCGGATCTCCGGACATGGAGACTAGCTCTGGGGACATCAAATGTCACCTCGCTGGGGGGGAAGGAGCCTGAGCTTGTGCGGGAGGTTGAGTATTACTGACTAGATATAGTCGGCCTCACCTCCACGCACAGTTTGGGCTCTGGAACCCAACTCCTTGAGAGGGGCTGGACTCTCCATTTCTCTGGCGTTGGCCGCGGGGAGCGGCGGCGGGCTGGTGTGGGCCTGCTCATTGCCCCACAGCTCAGCCACTGTGTGTTGGAGTTCACCCCGGTGAATGAGAGGGTCATGTCCCTGCGCCTTCGGGTCAGGGACAGGTCTCTCACTGTGGTTTCGGCCTACGGGCCAAACAGCAGTGCTGAGTACCCGGCCTTCTTGGAGTCCCTGGGAGGGGTACTAGACAGTGCACCAATTGGGGACTCCGTTGTTCTCCTGGGGGACTTCAACGCCCACGTGGGCAATGACAGTGACACTTGGAGAGGGGTGATTGGGAGGAACGGCCTCCCTGATCTGAGTGGTGTTCTGTTACTGGACTTCTGTGCTAGTCACAGTTTGTCCATAACGAACACCATGTTCGAG